TTTTATTTATTTTTTTTCCCTTTTTCTTTCTTACTAAGACATGATTTAGTAACTTCTTTTGTGCACATGTGAACAATGAAATAGACAAAGTCTAAAATGAAAAGCTTCTAAGTTCTTTTGAGGTTCTTGAAGTTCTCTGGATATCTACCTCCTTATTCTTTACAGTAATTTGTTGATTGTTGTGCATTTCTTGTGTAGTTTTTTTTTTAATCCGTTGAGCTTGCACCACTTTGTCCCATGCTTTGTGGGACGGAAACAACACTAATGAATCACACAATTCATTATTTAAATGAAGTGGCGGAGGACTTTGCATTAAATTTCACAATAGAATTTTAGTCCACGATGTATTTGTGCTTTTCTTTAGCCAATTTTGGACATACTACACAAACACGCATCCATAAAACTCTCTCTCTCTCCCTATAATTGCACAAAACAAATAACTAGAAATCCCTCAGCATTTGCATACAAAGTCTGATAATTTTGATTGAGTATATATATTAAATCAATAATGATTTAGAATTGTTGAGAAGGATTTTGAAATATATATTTTATTGGGATTGTGCAAAATGAATTAAGAGTTGAAAAGGGATGTGCACGTGCTCAACATTTGCATAGAATTGGGCATGGGCTTATAGTGGTGCGGAAGTGGGTTTGTAATGGAGGGAGGTGGGATCGAGGTGGTTTTGTGATGAAAGGAGGTGGCTGTTTGGTGGTGTAGCAGGGGAATGGGTGGTGTGAAGGTGATGATTGGTCGTCGTGAGAGGAGGTGGAGGAAGGAGATTTAGTGGTGGGTGTGGTTATGGAAATGTTGGTTTGTGGTTTGGAGATAACACGAAAAGGAAGATGAAAGAGGGAAGAGAAAGATAAAAGACCATTTTATCCTTGAAAATTACATACATTGCACAATAGCAATTTCGGTCCAAAAAATTAACCTCTGTCATCTATTATCCTTGTTTGAAACAAAAAGAAAAATGGAAGGGTAAATGTGTTGCACTTTCAAGGAGAAGAACCAAAACGAAACTTAAAGGAAACTATAGGGACTATCACTGAAATTTGCCCATAAACAAATGTGATAAGTGTACCATTATTGTCAATCATACTTTGTTGATGTGTTAAATTATTGGATTTTACAACATGTTGTGAGTTTCAAGCATGTTCAATAATATTTAAGTAAACATACCCAAAATTTATATATATATATATATATATCAAAAATTAAATTACAAAAAAAAAAAAAATTAGAATGTATACGTCAAGACAATAGAGTATACCAACAATATCCTCATTCATTTGATGACCTTATTATTTTCACCGAAGGTAGGCCCATCATATAGTGACATGTATATTCTTATATAACTTTTTATAATTAAATCCTATGTATGTAGAAACTTATGAAAACTTCCCTTCTTAATGATGTGATTTAAGGTGTGGTCATGATGTGGTGTGAAGTGCGGTCATGCCTTTAATAACACTGCTGGTGCCCATGCTTGGTTGATTGCCACTAGGCCTTGCAGGTGCAATCTTCGCCGTGGTGCCCATGCTACTACCTCCTGCAACAGCTACCTTTGCCTTACTCCTCCTTGCCATGTTTTGGTCAGTAGCCATTGGAGGTATTTCAACTTGGCTCGACCTATTATTCTTCCTCACCTTCAAACATGGTGAAATGTAATGTAATTAATCAATCAATGCCTCATATAAATTATCCTCTAAGAGTGAAATAAATTGACAATAATTTCACTTACAGGTAAGTTTGGCTTTATAGCATTGCCTTCAACTGGTTGACCTTTGCAACTTCTTCATATAAACCACTTCCATGAGGATTTTGTTTCTCCTTCCACTACAGCAAAAGCCACTGGAAAAGTGTTATCATTACGATCAATGGCCACAGATTGAAGCAATTGCCCTTTGTGAGGACCTCTCAAATGGCAAGCATCCACACCAATATTTGGCCTACAACGTGCAATGAAACCTTGCTTAGAAGCCCCCAAACATACATAAATCCTTTCAAATCTGGACTTCCCTACATCATCCTCATCCAATGGCTGAATCTCATGAACCTGCATAATAATGGTTGACCCAGGATTTGATCTTCTAATTTCTTCACAATAATCCCACAGCTTTGCATATTGTTCCTGATGGCTGCCCTCAATCAGCACTTGTGCTTTCCTCTTGGCCCTATAAAGTTGACTCTTTGAGACCCCAACTTTGTGGTCCACCTGCAGAGCTTGTTGGAAAGAAGGCAATGGCTATGTAGGGTTGGTCTTAAGTGTCTCTCTGTACTTGGACAACCAAGTTGAATTGACTTGTCTATTGTGGAAAACTCTGCCACAGTTGTGTGTGGGGTGGTAGGTTTTGATTTGAAAATTATTTTCCCCTTGGACTTTAAATGCAAAAAGGACCCACTTGCATGGGAGGTTTACAGGTGGCTCTCACCCTAAGGCTGTCATTTTTCACAACCTCAATTGATTTTCCAGTCTTTATAGCATGCTGTTTGACAGCATCTTTAAAGATTTTGGAAGTCCCAAACAACATCCCAAATTTAAATTGGGGCTCAACCATATCTGTATACATATTAAATTGAGGGTACCTTCCTTTCTTCTTTCCATTATCCTCACCTTCAGTTGATGAATCAATGCTTCTAAGCTCATCTAAAGCTGACTCATCCTCCCACCTCTCTTCAACTTGTGCTTCATTGTTGGATAAACCAACCCCAGCTTCATGTGTACCAGCTTCATCAGTCACATTATCCCTCATTAAACCACCACATTCCACATTCCTATCCACATGAGTTTCAAATAGCATGTCATCTTCACTTTCATCAATTTTACTATCCTCATAGTCCTCCAAATCTCTAAATCTGTGGACTCTGTCTGAGAACCTTCATCATATCCACTATCAAACAAATCATCAACTTCTGCTACACCCTTACCTTGCTCTAACTCAGCTTCTCCACCACCATCCTTTTGGAACTGAGCTTCTACTACATCCATATACCCATGAAACTCATCTTGACCTCTCATCAATCAGTATTGAACTAGGTTGTGTTTTAGGATAGTGTTCCAAATAGAAATCAATGTGCCTATTTATATATAAGAATTTCAGCATACCCATCACCTCATTGTCATTCCTCACATTGACTAGCCCACTAGTAAGATCTTTATCAGGCATTCTGTAGTAATATGACATGCTTCCAGTACAATCCAATTTCTCCACCAAATCCTCGATGTATAACATATTCATGTAATCAGCTTTGCAGTAGTCAAAGTATTTGACTACGTTTCTTCCCCCCCACCACATATAACCTATCTGGATTACATATAAATGTTCCCCCATGATGCATTTTTAAAGTGAAGTAATCAATATCTGGATCCGTGAGATTAAATTTAAAAAAAAAAATTAATCAAAATTTGTTAAAGGTTGATTAATTTTCCCCTTGTGCAGGTCTATTCTTGTGGGAACCATGTCAACAACAGAGGGAACAAAACAAAAAAAAACTAACATATATATATATATATCTTTATTAGTATCATGTGAAAGTGTGAAGCTCAAATTGCTCCAAAAAAAAAAAAACAAAAAAAAAGGTGATTTTAAATATAAATAACCTATATGTATACATAAATCACCAGTCAACCACTATCAAACATTACAAAACTGAAGACGACAATATACATAAACAAACAAATGTTGATCAAAAAAGTAAAATACCAAATTGAGGGCTCCCAGACAAGGCCTCCCTCAGAGCCATCGAGTTGGCTTGTTGCTTTAATGGATTTGATTCACTTTCTCAGATTTCCTTCTGAATTCAGCTCTGACCAATTTGTTGTATTCCCTTTCTTCACCCCTTTCCTAACCTCAATCCCATATTTGTTTATGGGTAAATTTCAATGATAGTCCCTATAGTTTCCTTCTAAGTTTCATTTTGGTTTTCTTCTTTGAATTGCAACACATTTACCCTTCCATTTTGCTTTTTGTTTCAAACAAGGATAATAGATGACAAAGGTTAACTTTTTGGACAGAAATTGCTATTGTGCAATGTATGTAATCAATTTTCAGGGATAACATGGTCTTTCATCTCTCTCTCACCTCTTTCATCTTCCTTTTCGTGTTATCTCCAAACCACAAACCAACATTTCCATAACCACACCCACCACTAAATCTCCGCCCTCCACCTCCTCTCACCGTGACCAATCATCACCTTCACACCCCCCATTCCCCTGCTACACCACCAAACAGCCACCTCCCTTTATCACAAAACCACCACCGAACCTACCGAACTTCATTACAAACCCACTTCCTCACCACTATAAACCCATGCCCAACCACCTCCTTATTCTATGCAAATGTTGAGCACGTGCACATCCCTTTTCAACCCTTAATTCATTTTGCACAAACCCAATACAATATATATTTCAAAATCCTTCTCAACAATTCTAAATCATTATCTGATTTAATATATATACTCAATCAAAATTATCAGACTTTGTATGCAAATGCTGAGGGATTTCTAGTTATTTGTTTTGTGCCATTATAGGGAGAGAGAAAGAGTTTTATATATGCGTGCTTGTGTACTATGTCCAAAATTGGCTAAAGAAAAGCACAAATACATCTTGGACTAAAATTCTATAGTGAAATTAAATGCAAAATCCTCCACCACTTCATTTAAATAATGAAAAACAATAAACAATGGCTACTCACATAAATAAAAAATAATAATAATACTTGAAAGAATTTCTTAATCACAATTCTCTTAAAAAACCAAACAAATTTACATTAAAATTAAATCTATTACATAGACAACATAACAAAAATTACAGCAAGAATATAAGCATAAAAACAAAAATTGGGAATGTGTGATTCATTATTGTTGTTTCTGTCCCACAAAGCATGGGACAAAGTGGTGCAAGCTCAATGTATTAAAAAAAAAGAACACAAGAAATGCACAACAATCAGCAAATTACTGTGAAGAATAAAGAGGTAGATATCCAGAGAACTTCAAGAACCTCAAAGGAATCTAGAAACTTTTCATTTTTGACTTTGCCTATTTCATTGTTCACATCTGCACAAAAAAAGTAACTAAATCATGTCATAGCAAGAAAGAAGGAAAATAAATAAATAAAAAAAATCATATTTCCAGATTTGATCAATTCCCCATCCTGTTGTCTTGTAGTCTTTCCTTACAAGTAGGAACGTAATTTCTTTAGAAAACGAGGACGGATGGCAAAATCATAGTCATCTCTGAAAGCTATCAACCCAATAACTTTTTCATTCGAGTCAAAAATAGGAGCCCCATTGGGCCATAAGCTGCATGTATGTTATTAATTTGAATTACTGTCAAATATATACTGCAACACATTAAAGTGTAGAAATAATGATGGTCAAAGATCAATAAGAAGAGCAAATGCCTCCCTCTTAGGTTTAGCAACTTGCCCCATTACAAAAGTATAATCGAGTTGGTTAGAGTGAGTTATAGAAAATACTTTCATCCCAATGTCTATACAATTTTTACTACCGAATTTTCAGAATTCATAAGAATGAAGAAGTCTTGTATCAATATCCTTGGTTTTCAAAATAGCTAGGTCATACTGGGGCGCTCTCAAAAAAACCTTAGCTTCCTGAAAAGCTTTATCTTCCCTGCGACGTATCGTTACAACATTACCCTCAGGTACCAAATGTGTGCATGTCAAAATATATCCATATCTGTTTATCACCACACTGGCACCATACTCGCTACCATCCTCCGACGATCTTGGAATAATCGGCCGTGATGATACAACCACCACCACCTTTTTCATCCGGTTGTACAAAATCTCTCAACGTTGTTGGATTGGCATTGGCATTACTGTCCTCCTTCGCTTCAGCCTTTGACTCCGCATGTGTTTACTTTTCATGGCGAGGATGAAACTTCTTTTCATGGCAGCGTTGTATGAGACCTCTCCCTCGTCTAAAAAGGGGCCTTTAATGCAGGGCAATATTCCAATGCATAAGACAACCAAATTCAACCAGATTCTAAAAAGGGGTCTTTTCATGGTGAAAACCCAATGTAGCTTTTCAGATACAACCCTTTTTAGGGTTTTGATTAAATTTGGTTGTCTTATGCATTGGAATATTGTCCTGCATTAAAGACCGCTTTTTAGACGACGAAGACGAGGGAGAGGTCTCATACAATGCCGCTACGAAAAGAAGTTTCATCATCGCCATGAAAAGTAAACACATGCGGAGTCAAAGGCCGAAGCGAAGGAGGACAGTAATGCCAATGCCAATGCCAATGTAACAACGTTGAGATTTTGTACAACCGGATGAAAAAGGATAGTGATTGTTGTATCATCACGGCCGATCATTCCAAGATTGTCGTCGTCGGAGGATGGTAGCAAGTACGGTGCCGGTGTGGTAATAAACAAATATGGGTATATTTTGACATGCGCACATTTGGTACCTAAGGGTAATGTAACGGTACGTCACAGGGAAGGTAAAGCTTTTCAGGAAGCCGAGATATTTTTGAGAGCACCCCAGTATGACCTAACTATTTAGAAAACCAAGGATATGGATACGAGACTTCTTCATTCTTATGAATTCTGTAAATTCGGTAGTAAAAATTGTATAGACATTGGAATGGAAGTATTTTCTATAACTCACCCTAACCAACTCGATTATGCTTTTGTAATGGGGCAAGTTGCTAAACCTAGGAGGGAGACATTTGCTCTTCTTATTAATCCTGACCATCATTATTTCAACACTTTAATGTGTTGCAGTATGAACTTGACAGTAATTCAGATGGCTCAATGGGGCTCTTGTTTTTTACTCGAATGGAAAAGTTATTGGGTTGATACACTGCAAGAAAATACACTTTTGGCGACCACTTTGGCCGACTAAAAATATTTTGGTCCCCAAAAATTGTGCAATTGGCGACCAAAAATTATGGTAGTCGGTAAAAGTACAATATTTAGCCACTAAATTTTTTTAGTCGAGGTATATTAATTATTGGCGACTAAAAAAAAATTTAGTCGCTAAAAATATCACAATTGGCGACTAAAAAAAATTTAGTCTCTAAATTTGCCACAATTGGCAACTAAAAAAATATTTTAGTCACTGTATAGATAGTTTTGGCAACTAAAATAATTTAGTCGCTGAATGAAAAATAAAAATTTACATTTTATCTTTGGCGACCAAAAGTTTGGTCGACAAAAATTTAATTTCAGTAACTAAAAAATATTTTAGTCGTTATATAGATAGTTTTGGCAACTAAAATAATTTAGTCGTTGAATGAAAAATAAAAATTTACTTCTATCTTTAGAGACCAAAAGTTTGGTCGACAAATTTAGGGCTGGTTTGGGGTGTCCTAAAAAAGTGCACTTTTTGCACTAAAAAAGACAAAAAAAAATATATGGAGGTTTGGGTTAACTTTTTATGGAAAAATGTGTATTAAAAAATTGTATAAAAAAAGTGTGTAAGAGATGATAAGAGAGGAGTGGGCCCCAGCCGTACAACCGGCTGTACAACCGGCTGTGTAATTTGAGTTGGAAATTATTGGCTAATTTTTGTACAAAGCACTGGACGGTTTTGTTTGACCCGTGGGGGTCATCACGGGTCCCATTTTAATAATCTGAACCGTTGAATGTGTGTAACTCGTCGAACACTATGTACCTATAAAAAATCACGTTAATCGGATATCGATAGCTATCTGATCAGATTTATTTATTTTTCAATCATTAATTATAACACCATCCATTTATTGTATATAACTGATTTGATCATATAGTTATCGATATCCAATCAATGTGATTTTTTGCAGACATATAGTACTCGACGATTTTTACACATTGAACGGTTCAGATTATCAAAACGGGACCCGTAATGACCCCCGTGGGACGAACAACGGTGTGTGTGAAAATCACACCGAATCATTTCATTTTTGCTGCACAGCCGCTGCTTTACATCAATTCAAATTGTACTTTTTGGGAAGAAAATTGATTTTTTAATTTTTTTTTTTTGGTGAATAGTGATATCTTGTTGGATTTTGGAGTAACTTTTTGGCTTTTTGACTTATATAGTATAAGCCAAACCAGGCCTTAATTTCAGCGACAAAAATATTTTAATTGCTGTATAGATAGTTTTGGCAACTAAAATAATTTAGTCGTTGAATGAAAAATAAAAATTTACTTCTATCTTTGGCGACCAAAAGTTTGGTCGACAAAAATTTAATTTCAACGACTAAAAAATATTTTAGTCGCTGTATAGATAGTTTTGGCAACTAATATAATTTAGTCGTTGAATGAAAAATAAAAATTTACTTCTATCTTTGGCGACCAAAAGTTTGGTCGACAAAAATTTAATTTCAGCGACTAAAAAATATTTTAGCGCTGTATAGATAGTTTTGGCAACTAAAATAATTTAGTCGCTGAATGAAAAATAAAAATTTACTTTTTATCTTTGGCGACCAAAAGTTTGGTCGGCAAAAATTTAGTTTCAGCGACTAAAAAATATTTTAGTCGCTATATAGATAGTTTTGGCAACTAAAATAATTTAGTCGCTGAATGAAAAATAAAAATTTACTTTTTATCTTTGGCGACCAAAAGTTTGGTCGGCAAAAATTTAATTTCAGCGACTAAAAAATATTTTAATCGCTGTATAGATAGTTTTGGCAACTAAAATAATTTAGGCCTGGTTTGGCTTATACTATATAAGTAAAAAAGCCAAAAAGTTACTCAAAAATCCAAAAAGATATCACTATTCACCAAAAAAAAATTTAAAAAATCAATTTTCTTTCCAAAAAGTACAATTTGAATTGATGTAAAGCAGCGGCTGTGCAGCAAAAATGAAATGATTCGGTGTGATTTTCACACACACCGTTGTTCGTCCCATGGGGGTCATTACGGGTCCCGTTTTGATAATCTGAACCGTTCAATGTGTAGAAATCGTCGAGTACTATATTTCTGCAAAAAATCACATTGATCGGATATCGATAACTATATGATCAAATCAGTTATATACAACAAATAGATGGTGTTATAATTAATGATTGAAAAATAAATAAATCTGATCAGATAGCTATCGATATCCGATTAACGTGATTTTTTATAGGTACATAGTGTTCGACGAGTTACACACATTGAACGATTCAGATTATTAAAATGGAACCCGTGATGACCCCCACGGTTCAAACAAAACCGTCCAGTGCTTTGTACAAAAATTAGCCAATAATTTCCAACTCAAATTACACAGCCGGTTGTACAGCTGGGGCCCACTCCTCTCTTATCATCTCTTACACACTTTTTTTATACAATTTTTTAATACACATTTTTCCATAAAAAGTCAAAAAGTTAACCAAAACCTCCATAATTTTTGTCTTTTTTAGTCGCTGATTGAAAAATAAAAATTTACTTTTTATCTTTGGCGACCAAAAGTTTGGTCGCCAAAAATTTAATTTTAGCGACAAAAAATATTTTAGTCGCTATATAGATAATTTTGGCAACTAAAATAATTTAATCGCTGAAAGAAAAATAAAAATTTACTTTTTATCTTTGGCGACCAAAAGTTTGGTCGACAAAAATTTAATTTCAGCGACTAAAAAATATTTTAGTCGCTTAGGGGGTTGATCTTAGCACCCTTCCCCACTCAGATATGGGCCAAGCTATAGGTATGGCCATATCCCCTTTGCCCACTCTGAAGTAGGCCGAGCTGGGGGAGCGACCCTAGCACCCTTCCCTCACTCTGAAGTGGGCAAAGTCATGGGCTTAACCATAACCTGTTTCTCCACTGTGATGTGGGCCAAGCTAGAGGTTCAGCCCTAGCACCCTTCTCCACTCTAAAGTGAGTTGAGTCCTAACAAAATGCTCAATGCCATGTGAGTGAAGGACACATGACCCCCGCGATTAACGGAATGATTGTAGACGACTCATCACTTTCTTCTAATGAGGAGTGACCTAGCTAAATGACAAAGAGCGCCAAATGGCGGAGAGAAGAACTTGATGAGCAAGTCAACCCTTCATTACAAAAGGTAACCTCACCACCCTTCAACTACCAACCACCAACATTACTCTCTCTCTCTCTCTCTCTCTCTCTCTCTCACGCCGATTGCCCTTCTCCTGATATTGAATCTCTGTCGCTTTGTTTCCATCGCCGTCGGGTAAGGAGCATCACTGCCATCGAGCACCACCGTCGATCCACTATTGGAGCATTACCCCAGTATGTCCTCTCTATTTTGCCTTCTCTCTGTCCCTCTCTCTGCCTCTCTTCCCCTAATATCTGTCTCTCTCACTCTGTGACTCTCTCTGTCTTTGTTCTCTCTTTGACTAAAGTAATTTTGTTCTACAATGTCTCACAACCCACCAGGGCCTTCACCATCCCCATTTTCTAGAGCATCTTCAACTCTCCCTAAAAACAATTTGAGGTATAAATATCCCTCTTTCTATAAAATGATTCAAGGAACATGTAATTTCTTGTTTTTCTTTTTTTGGGTTGTGACGGCCTGAAATTCGTAACACTTAAATTTTATCTTATAGTTTGATCTTATACTCAATTTGTACTGGTAGCGCCGGATAAAGATTCTTGAAGCTGCCTTACTGAACTTTGCTTCTGTGATCTTCATCTTATACTTAATTTATACTAGTAGCGCCCGATAAAGGTTTGAAGTTTTGCTGACTAATATTTTTTTAGTTACCAAAATATAATTTTCTACAATCAAATTGAAATTTGGTCAGCAAAAGTCGAAGAGGGAAGACAAAAAAAAAAAAGTGGGAATGAAAAAATGTTTAGCGACTAAAATATTTTGGTCACAGATAATAACATTTGCCGACCAAAAATCAATTTTGTCGCCAAAGGCGTGAAAATTTTAGAGGGAAACCATTTAATTGCCCCCGCATGTTCTCTGTTTAAACCAATCAGATTGTTCTCTCTCTCATATAGATTCTCCTTCACCACCAAACCTCACCCCATCTCACCACACTCTGTGACTTAGGGCTTAAAAACATGTCCGTCTCTCTCTCACTCTATGACTCTCTGAGTCTGCGACTCTCTCTGTCTCTCGCATTTGCCCTCCTCCGATTCTCTCTCTTGCATCTGCCCAGCTCCGATTCTCTCTTCTTATAATTACATCCTATGTATGTAGAAACTTATGAAAACTTCCCTTCTTAATGATGTGATTTAAGGTGTGGTCATGATGTGGTGTGAAGTGCGGTCATGCCTTTAATAACATTGCTGGTGCCCATGCTTGGTTGACTGCCACTAGGCCTTGCAGGTGCAATCTTCGCCGTGGTGCCCACACTACTACCTCCTGCAACAGCTACCTTTGCCTTACTACTCCTTGCCATGTTTTGGTCAGTAGCCATCGGAGGTATTTCAACTTGGCTCGACCTATTATTCTTCCTCACCTTCAAACATGGTGAAATGTAATGCAATTAATCAATCAATGCCTCATATAAATTATGTCATGCCTTTAATAACACTACTGGTGCCCATGCTTGGTTGACTGCCACTAGGCCTTGCAGGTGCAATCTTCGCCGTGGTGCCCACACTCTACCTCCTGCAACAGCTACCTTTGCCTTACTACTCCTTGCCATGTTTTGGTCAGTAGCCATCGGAGGTATTTCAACTTGGCTCGACCTATTATTCTTCCTCACCTTCAAACATGGTGAAATGTAATGCAATTAATCAATCAATGCCTCATATAAATTATCCTCTAAGAGTGAAATAAATTGACAACAATTTCACTTATAGGTAAGTTTGGCTTTATAGCATTGCCTTCAACTGGTTAACCTTTGCAACTTCATATAAACCACTTCCATGAGGATTTTGTTTCCCCTTCCACTACAGCAAAAGCCATTGGAAAAGTGTTATCGTTATGATCAATGGCCACAGATTGAAGCAATTGCCCTTCGTAAGGACCTCTCAAATGGCAAGCATCCACTCCAATATATGGCCTACAACGTGCAATGAAGCCTTGCTTAGAAGCCCCCAAACATACATAAATCCTTTCAAATCTGAACTTGCCTACATCATCCTCATCCTCTGGCTGAATCTCATGAACCTGCATAATAATGGTTGACCCAGGATTTGATCTTCTAATTTCTTCACAATAACTTTGCATATTGTTCCTGATGGCCGCCCTCAATCAGCTCTTGTGCTTTCATCTTGGCCCTATAAAGTTGACTCTTTGAGACCCCAACTTTGTGGTCCACCTGCACAGCTTGTTGGAACGAAGACAATGGTTATGTAGGGTTCGTCTTAAGTGTCTCTCTGTACTTGGACAACCAAGTTGAATTGACTTGTCTATTGTGGAAAACTCTGCCACGGTTGTGTGTGGGGTGGTAGGTTTTGATTTGAAAATTATTTTCCTCTTGAACTTTAGATGCAAAAAGAACCCACTTGCATGGAGGTTTACATGTGGCTCTCACCCTAAGGCTGTCATTTTTCACAAACTTAGGCCTCGTTTGGGAATAGGCTAATTTAGTAACTTTTTCGCTATTTGACTAAAATATGAGCTAAAAAAAACTAGTATGTTTAGGATGACTTTTTGGCTTTTTACAAAAAGATGTGCAAAAAGTAGAGAGAAGAAAATCTTTGACTTTTTTGTATGGGTTGTTGGCTTTTTGGCTAATTTAATTTTTTGACTTTTTGACTAAAATAAAGGGTTCCCAAACGAAGCCTTAATTGATTTTCCAGTCTCTATAGCATGCTGTCTGACAGCATCTTCAAAGATTTTGAAAGTTCCAAACAACATCCCAAATTTAAATTGGGGCTCAACCATATCTGTATACATATTAAATTGAGGGTACCTTTCTTTCTTCTTTCCATTATCCTCACCATCAGTTGATGAATCAATGCTTCTAAGATCATCTAAAGCTGACTCATCCTCCCACCTCTCTTCAACTTGTGCTTGATTGTTGGGTAAACCCCAGCTTCATCAGTCACATTATCCCTCACTAAACCACCCCATTCCACATTCCTATCCACATGAGTTTCAAATAGCATGTCATCTTCACTTTCATCAATTTCACTATCCTCATAGTCCTCCAAATCTCTAAATCTGTGGACTCTATCTGAGAACCTTCATCATATCCACTATCAAACAAATCATCAACTTCTGCTACACCCTTACCTTGCTCTAACTCAGCTTCTCCACTACCATCCTTCTGGAACTGAGCTTCTACTACATCCATATACCTATGAAACTCATCTTGACCTCCAAACAACTCATCAATGTCATCAATCAGTATTGAACTAGGTTGCGTTTTAGGATAGTGTTCCAAATAGAAATCAATGTGTCTATTTATATTTAAGAATTTCAGCATACCCATCACTTCATTGTCATTCCTTACATTGACTAGCCCACTAGTAAGATCTTTATCAGGCATTCTGTAGTAATATGACATGCTTCCGGTACAATCCAATTTCTCCACCAAATCCTCAATGTATAACATATTCATGTAATCAACTTTGCAGTAGTCAAAGTATTTGACTATGTTTCTTCCCCCTCTCCCTCCCAAAACCACATATAACCTATCTGGATTACATATAAATGTTCCCCCATGATGCATTTTTAAAGTGAAGTAATCACTATCTGGATCTGTGAGATTAAATAAAATAAAATAAAATAAAATAATCAAAATTTGTTAGGGGTTGATTAATTTTCCCCATGTGCATGTCTATTCTTGTGGGTGCAAGGCATGCGTCGGGTTTCTGTTCAAAAACCCAACGGTTGTTAATTATTGGACCACATAGAGCCAAAAACCACATTGCAGGGGCAAAATTGATGAAATTAGAAGTACTGGGACCAAAATGCAACGACGGGTAAATTATAGGGACCATTTCTGTAATTTGCCCCTTTTATTCTTCTTATTCTAGATTAGGTCGTCTTTTTTTCTTTTTTTTTTTCCTTCTTTTTCTAGATTAGGTCACTTCTTCTCTTTGATTAGGGTTTTCTGATTAGGGCTTCGATTAGGTCTCTTCTCTTTGATTACAACTTTCTGATTAGGGCTTCGATTACAGCTTTTTGACCCTGCTATGTCCACTTCCGTGTCCCGCCGTGTCCCCTGCCGTGTCCCATACCAAAAACAACTAGGACATGCCAAATGGCGAGTCTTGTATGTGTTCGGCACGTGTCCGACACCGCTACGACACCTATTTTGAAGTGTCCGTGCCTCATAGATGAAATTATATGTGCTACCACAGTGGATAACAGTTCTCAAATAGAAATTTGTGCAGCCACACTTGATTAAAACTCTAAAAAAAAAAAATGGTCAATACATCTAAATCATCTTCTTCTTCTTTTTTTCTTTTCTTTTTTTTCTTCTTCCAGCCTGCTGGTTCATATATATATATATATATATTTGGTTAGGTTTTTTTTTTTCTCCCTTCTTCCAGGTTCCAATTTTCTTCTCTTCTTCTCCTCTCCTTTTTGATGTTTTGCGATGGTTAAACTAAACTTGAATATTGGTGCTTTTGATGAATGTTGATTATTTTGCATTTGGAATGATCCGATCTTTTATGGGCTTTGAAAAATTATTTGCTTTAGTTCTTTTATTTTTTATTTTAAATTATTTATCTTTTGTAAGTTGTGAATTCTGTGTTTTTCTTATGTTGATATCTAAATCATTAGTCTATGTTAATATATCTATTTTTTACTGAAAAGCTGCACCTTGCTGCAATGAAGTGTGCCTCGCCTTGCACTTAAGCCCCAAGAGACCTTCGGCGCCTTGGCTCGCCTTGAGCCTTTAAAAACACTGTGACTGCAGAACCCCATACCTTGACATGTGAACTTATCCCTAATGGTACATTAAACACAAATTATATACATATAATTCATTGCTTTTATGCCAACACTAAAGTAAAACTAGAAAAAGGATAAAGAACTATATATCACTTAACTTGGCATTCTACTAGAGAAGAACGCCGTGTTGAAACAAGATATCTAAATAAATATTTTGCAATTTGCAGTTATTCTAACACCAAAAACTCAATGTTCTAGATGTGCGTTCAAATTTCTTGTACCTATGTCATATTTGAACATCCAAAAAAGAAGGCTGCTATATATCACTGTTTTTTTTCACCAAACTTTTCACCTCTAATGCGGTTTCCTATGTAGCATGATAAGCTAGTTTTAAATAAAGTGGGTTCTATACATACAAGTGGCTTTTATTGCATGAGTACACATGAGAAGTGAAATAAGAAGGTGAAATAAATCCGGTGATAAATAGCATTTCTCTCCCCAAAAGATTTTGCCCCAAAAGAATCAAGATCTATCTAAAATAAGGTGTAGCAAAGAACATACCTCTTCAACAAGAACACCTTTGGAGATATTGGACTTCGAGATAATCTTTTCCAACTTGCCTACACTTGCCGCATAAAGATTAGTCATTTCCATGCCATGCCAAGCCAAGGTCGACGGGATTTCCTATGCCATGATACAAACCATTAGACCCTCTAAGACAGCTTCATAATGCTTCCCATATATCATTTTTTTAGTACCTACTTCACAGAAGATCTAACAAACTTCCAGACTACAGTATTTCTTTTTTTGTGAGAGCAGTGTGTGTGTTGGGGAGGGGTGGGGGGTACATAATTGAGGACATATAGCAACACATAATAAGCAAAGTACAGACATGGAAGCTATGATGATTCGGAGAACATACCCATTTTTTTTGAATCGCGACAAGCATTTGGAAACAATATTGATCGGCAGAAAAGGGGTACAAACATCATCGTAAAAATTGACTCCAATGACTTCTCCATAACGATTGATAAGGGGTCCCCCGATACCACTCTAGCAAAGAAAATATATCATTAGTTGAAAGATTGCTAAAAATACATACAATCTACTCAAATAAAACCCAAAGCACAGTACATTAACTCATACATACCACACAGCATACATCAATTATTTTCTAAAACACTCTAGGGACAGATTGCACTCCACCATGTATGCTCTACATTCTACCACATACTGCCTGCCTAAATGTGGACTACATTCAGCATATATATAAACATATAAACAATTGTTTGAAATAGATTAGGATTACACATGCATTATAATAATATAAACTAGCCAAACTCGGAGCGGATTTTGAAGGCAAATGCAAACTCCGGCCCGAATCCCAATGGAGTTTGAACGAAATCCCAAATCCGCCCCTAACCCTATTGAACTCTTACCAACTTCGTTCCAATAAGGGCAAGAAGGGGTGGGGGCAGGTTAACATCTACTCCGCCTCTAACCCTAAACGTATGGCCTAAGAAGCACGAACACTTCTAAGAAGGTGGCATATCCATGTCGTGTCGGCACTTTCCCGACACGTGTCTGACACTCGACAAAACGTGCCCTATTTTCTTTCAAATATTTTTAGACCTGGACACTTGAAGGACGCACATGTCCATCGCTTAAATACATGTGTTCATCGATTAGCCACATGAAACTAATTATAAATTTGAAAAAAATAACTTAACATAAGGAAAACATTATAAATATATAGAAGTTAGTGTTACATTGCAATTTTTATTATTTATAAATGATATATTAATATTTATGAGATATCAATATATAAAATTATACATTTTGTACAAGTTGTCTAGCATTTTTTGAAAATTGTTGTGTCCGTGACCGTGTCCGTGTTTCTTCGCGTATAGCATACCAAGAAAAATTAAAAGACAAAAATTCATCATCATTCACCACTAATTTAAAACCAAAACCAATATAGATATAAGAGAGAGGGAAGAAAGAGTAAAATTATTACTTTTGCAATAATGCAATTTGCCCTGAAAAGCTCTTTGCAATCAAATTTGCAGCAGTCAAGACTGCACAGAAAGAAAAAAGAGCAAGTGTAAAAAATTGTTAAGGCACTTACAAGCACTGTGATCAACAAAAAATAATGCAATATATGGGTATTGGATATCGTATACGATTAATCTTTGACAGACTGTACATGCACTAAGATATGTCTTACATTCTCTCAGTTGTGTAAGAAAATTGTAATAATGTAAATTTAAACATGTAAAGTAAATTTACTTTGTGTACCTGAATTTGCCAGAAGCAGCCATAAGAGCATGGGTTCTACCACAGGAGTGGCCAATGGCCACAACCATATCTCCTGGACAAGTCTAAATAAATTTGAATGACGATGAAGCTGAAACGATTGTAAGCCACCTCATTGTCCCTAGTACAAGAGATCTCACTTGGATCTATTGAGATTGAATCATCCAAAGGTCTAATGATTGCAGTTGGCAATGCTACATCTGTTTCAATACTAATGGTAGCAATGTTGAAGTGAAAATGGTTGACCGTTAAATGGTTTATCATTCGTTACATAAAGATCAACCTCAACCTGCAATAATAGTAAGTCATACCCACCCAAAAAAATAATAGTAAGTTCTTTAGCTAATTGGAAAACATTGAGTAGTCTTGTACTATGCCAAATATTTTATAATTTAAAAAAAAAAAAAAAACAACAACAACAACAATCTATCACGTACATACACACAACAACAACAACAACAACAACAACAACCACCACCTTAATGTCATTTGGTATAGCATTTGCATCAATAGGTGATCTTAGGAGAGTCGCAAAAGTCAAAACGGTATTGATGAATGTTCCATTAACATCCTCGCATTCTATTATAGTCCCAGAACATGCAAACATCATCTTCCCACCTAGACATTGAAATAAATAAGCGAAGTCTCTACATGTGTGTATAGCATTTGTATAAACATGAAAGCACATGCAAGAATGAAAACTTTATTGTCAATTAGTAGAGTTTACAAAATAAGCAAAGTACGAACGAGTACATCTAATTAAAGGAAGAATGGTATGAATGGATTTAGAAATACAAAGCAAAAAAGTAAGGGTTTCCACCACTCCCAGCCTTAAACTCTTTTGTAAGGGCCCTTGCTCCCTCGCCCCTGCTTCATGCAACTATGGTTCAAAATCCAGGGGCCCAAGTCAGTTGCCTTGGTTGCCTACCCCAAGGTCAGACCCGATGAACTGTGTTACGTGGACTTTTCTAGTTCCTCCAAAGTACCCATGTCCACCAGATATGACAAAAATAAGGATGTGGGATATGTATACGACACTGATACCCAATTTGGATACTTGGTCTCCAATTTTTTACAATGTTTGATGAATAAGAAACACAAATTTGCTAGGAAAAAAACATTTGTAGCCTCGAACAATAGATGAAAGATAGAAATTCTATTTTTCCCTAAATCCTAGCGAATTTCAAGCACATTTCTACATAATTCATAAAACTTTTATCAAAAAATATTATAGTATAATATTTAACATATATAACTGCTCATAATGAGTACCCATACCCATATCCTATTTTTGGATACATACCCCAATATTCCAAGATCCAAGTTTATGAAGGTTGGATGCTTACACACGCACACATACCGGAAGATACTCAGGTCAAATCAAGGAAAAAATAAGTTTTTCACCAAATTTGATGAAAGAAGCTGTTGGGGATAATGTTGGAATTTTTGAAAAGGATTTCATGAAAATTTTAAAGGGAGGGTTGGAGTATTCAATTTTTTTACCAAATCAAGCTTTTAGTTAAATTTGATCAAAAGCTGTTGGAGCATCCCATATCAAATTAAGTTTTTAACCAATTGTTTACCCAAATTTGATAATAAAAAAAGAAAGAAAGACCACCTACCTGCAAGGGATGTAAGACTAACAACTGAAGGAGAAGCTTTCAAAGCCGCACTTTTGGTATCAATAGCTAAGTCCATATTAGCATATATAAATTGGTCAATCCTCTCCCCAATACTATGTCACAGAATTACGAATGAACCTGTTTATATCATTATTAGAATTTGTCCAGCCAATTTTTTACCTTCCCGTTCGGGGCGTTTCCGTTTCCATGGGCTAAAGCTATTCATTTTTTCTTCAGGTCAACGATGATTGAGCATCATTCTCTGGTGAAGATTTAGAAATTGATTCCTAACCTTAAAACCTAATCCCAAGATTTTGATCTTGGGAGACTGAAAGTATATGCAATTCTCAATCAATAAAATTTACACACACATATCTAAATATATATATATATATAGGGAAATTCTATTTCCACACACTTGATTAATTCAATGCAAATCTCTTCTCTAAAATTTTTTATTACATTTCTATCCTTCAATCAAATTACCAACACACCCCTCCCTTTCTCCCTCCCTCCCTCCCTCCCAACTCAACCCTTAACCTTCGCCATTGCCGACCACCGGCAGTCAGGCCCTTCCGATCATCATCACCTTCATAGACGTATGCAAACTTTGCAAAATCTTCATATCATTTTAATTGTCAATGTCAAAATTTCAAACAGGCGCATAGTATAGCCATTAAACTTCCACAAAATATTCAAGGGAAAAATAAAAAATTATTAATTTGCTACAGAGGCTTCAATTACTAACTTCGATTTTCTTAATTAAAACTGTAAAACTGTCACTTTTAAACAATCATCCTAAAAATTGTGCAAAACAATCATAAAATTTCTGGTAAAGAAGAGGGTGAGGCCCAGATCTGCTATGATATCAGGCTGATAATGGAGTTAAAACTCCGCCATGGCTGCAACAATGGTTGCCTAGTGAGAGAGAAAACCAGATCTGGTCTCTCTACCCCTTATTCTCTCTCTCAATGGCCTTCAGGTTGCCCCGCCATGAAACGGATCCAAATCTCAAAGCCTGATTTGAAAACCCAGAAAAAGCTATCATCACAGCCTCTTACAAAGAAGATAGTATAGTTGGTTGTTATGGGGTTGATGATGATGATGATGATGATGATGAAGATGCAGCAGAAGGGTTGAATCACTCTAGAAGATCTGGATTCGATGAACCGAACCGAGCTATGCATATATATATATATATATATAGATACACAATACAGAGTACTGAGTACATACAAACTCACACACCCAAAGGGTTGTTGAAATTTAGAGATGAAGACGAAATCCTGGGCTTCTTTTTCTGTATTGTACAGATTACAGAGAGGGGCAACCACCTTCAGAAACTTCCCATCTCTCTGCTTGAAGAAACCTCATTTCATCATCTGGGTTTCAATCTCCTAGAGGAGAAAGCAGTGGCGGGAGGGGGAGTATGCTGGGGAGGGGCGGTGGCCGTGGGAAGTTGAGAGAGGCTGAGAAGGGAACGGCGCCGGTGGGAGGCGGTGGTTGCCGGCAATGGTTAGGGTTATGATTTGTTGGAGAAGATGAGGTAGTTTAGTATTACTGTATCTAAAAATTATTGTGTATTGAGACAAATGTTAGGTAGTGTTTTACGCATAGTTTGGGAAGACTAGATAAGTATATTTTTTTGACTTTATATGAAATATGGTTTGAGTTTGGGTTGGGTTTGAAGTGATGTATTAGAGAGGTGATGTGATTTAAATAAGATGATGTGACTTAAATAAGATAGTGACTTTTTAACTTTTTGTCTTTTTTCAATCTTCCCAAACTATGTCTTAGAATCATGGTTCGAGAATAGTGCTATTTTGAGATAGTGATTTTTGAAATTATGATTTAGTGATTTTTGAAATTATGATTTGAACGTAAAAATTTTATTTGGTTATGAATTTTAAAAAATTTTAAATTGAATTTGAATTGAGTAATGCGATATATGATGTTTGATAAAAAATTTATAACTCATAACCAAACACATAATTTAAAATTCTATTTAAAGTTCATAAAAAAATTTTAAAAAAATTTACAAATATTTTTTTTGTAATATAAAAATAACAGGTGTAAAAAAAATATAAAAAAAAACGAACACTGTTCCGGTTAACTGGTCGATCAACCGATGGGATGTCTAGTAGGACGACCAATTAGTCTAAATTTTCTCGCTTTAGAAAGAGTTTTCAAAAGTGAATGTCAAATTAATTTTTAAAAACGCTAAACAAACACCACACTCAAAAGTGAGTGTGAAACTATATTTTGAAAACTTCACGGAGCCTCAAAGTTTTAACTTTTGTATATTATATGTGTATTGTGTATACAAAGGTAAGTAAAGATGTGTACACAAGAAGCTCTTTCATCTTTATGACTCTTTTTTCTTTTTCCTTTTTTTCCCTTATATTTGAAATAATTTATTATTTGTAGCTTATATATTGCGTGAAGATTTTTTATAATTATGTAAATATTTTTGGTCAATTATATAATAAGTTTTTTTGTAATTATGCAAATATTTTTGGTCAATTATGAAACAAATTTTTTCATAATTACGTAAATATTCTTGGTCAATTATGAAATATAAATTTTTTGGCCTCGTTTGGTTTGACTTTGGGAGATAAGTTTTCAAAAATTATTTTGGGAAGAGAATTTAGAAATTTTTGTAATTTGTTTGGTTGTATATTTTGAAAATAATTTTAGAGTTTGGGAATTTGGGATGATTTGATAGTTGTTTGAAATTGAGTAGATGTATGTGAGAAAAAAAGTGATTGAAAAGAAGAGAGGAGAGAGAGAAAAAAAAAGGTGATTGATTGATGTGTACAAGAGAGAAAGTAATATTGAAAATTTTTTGAGAAAAATTACAAACGAAACAAAATTTTCAAAAATTTTCTCCAAAATCTTTTTTCCATAGCCAAACCAAATAAGGCCTTTATTTTTGAACAAGTTACAATATGTTTAAGTTTTGTATTTTGATAATTTTCAAAAAATTTCAACTATTATTTTATGAAATTGAATAGAATAAATCATTAGATATATGATAGAATTATGTGGTATGATATATATCATTTTTTGATTTGTTATACACTCAATGATGTCGACTCCAATTCTATTACTAAATCATTTTGGATGAACTTATGAATCTTTGACATTTCCTCTGAATTTATAAATAAATAAAAAAAACAAAATTATAGTGTGTAGCTGTGTTCAACAGATAAATATAAAACAAATACTAAGATAATTCTCCCATCTAAAAAAAACTACTAAGATAAGTCACTGAACTAATGAAGAAGTAAGAGAGAATACATACATATACAAATGACTAATTTTATTAATTCATAAACCATACTCGCATAACAAATGATCAATTTTATTCATAAGTAAATCATTAAGTAAATTAATAAATTTTAATGATAAAAAAATATTTTTCAATTAACCATTTTGTTAATAAATAAATCATTAAGTCAATTAACAATTTTTCATGATATCAGAAATATTTTTCAATAAAAAAATTTTGATAATTTATTATTGCGTAGGATAATATTTTTTTCCTTGGGTATTGTGTTAAATTAAAATTTATAATAAACGATAGTTGTTATTTCTATTATTATAGGACCGATTCATATATTAAACAAAATTTATGAGTGTATTTGTTACTTGTTCAAAAATAAAAGATTTATGTTTCATAATTGACCAAGAATATTTACGTAATTATGAAAAAACTTATTTCATAATTGACTAAGAATGTTTGCATAATTACAAAAAAACTTTACTCAACATATAGGCTAAAAATAGTAAATTATTTCAAATAAAATGGCAAAAACGAAAAAAAAAAAGGACGAGCCATGAAGATGAAAGAGCTTCTATAACTTTTAAGAAGCAAGCAAGAGACCTAATCAGAAAGCTTCCTGCTTCACCCACTACCCATAATCAATGCGCATTAAAAGCACTTCTAATGCCCTTTTCGAGTGAGAGTTCAGCAGCTTACGAGCCAACCTTTCCCGATCCCTCATATCTTGAATCTCCATTCGTAGCTAAATTCGCATCTCCATCTTCAGTACCTGCATCATCTCCAACAGCTACCCTCAAACCCTTGCCCAGATTAGAAACAAGAGCTTTAGTTCAGTCACATCGGTCACATCTTTCGATTCGATGCTTTGAATCCTTGCTATCATCCCTCTCTCTACTTTGGTCTCCGAACTTCAATCTTGGACAAGGAAATCACACGGTTCGTTTGACAGCTAAGTCTCTCAGTCCGTTCCTGTAATGTATGTCCCTCAGCCTAGTTGATCACACCCGTAGGACACGGTTAGTCAATCACTGGCCTTTGGCAAAAGAAATGCAATGCTCCTTAAAGCTTAGCTTAAATGCTTTGTTTATAAAGCAATTATAAAGTAGTTTGAAGAATCCATACTATTTGTTGAGATGATTGGGGAATGTTTTGGTCGGCTAGTGGTGATAAAGCAAGAGGGTGGTGGTGTCAGTATATCGTGGGAGTTGATGTGTTTTTAGTGAGATAGATTTAATGAAAAAGTGTTGGAGAAAGATTTGTTGAGATTTAAGGAAGATACTGAAATGACAATAACTGATGGACAAGGAGGTAAACTAATATTTACTGTTCATAGCATCAACCAAACTCACATTTCATATACTTCAAAGGGGTTAATTGTCAAGTTTTAAACATTAAGGTGGTAACGTGTAAAATGGTAATAGTATAAGGAGATTTATTATAAGTTATTGTATTCTCTAATTAAACATGAACACTTACCTACGAGCTATAGCGACCCAGGTTTTACCCCGATCTTTATTGTGTTCCGGACTTGGGTTCCATGGTTAGTTGTTGTTGTCTATGTCTTGTTTCCTCCATTTAATTCTTTAAATTTGAGTTTTGGGACTGGTTGAGCGAGTTTGGAATAGGATGGTTGTCTTGTAGTACAAATGGTTGTTGTCCAGATTTTGGTTTCCTCGCTCGAGCGAAGCTTCTTGCGCTTGAGCGAGCCTTGTGTAAACTGTTCTTCGCTCGAGCGAGCACTCTTGCACTGCAGCGTGCGTCTGTGTCTCTGTAAGACCTGAAGGTTGATATCCTTCGCTTGAGCGAGCTTTCCTTCGCTCGAGCGTGCTTCTGCGTTACAGACCTGAAGCTTTTCATTGTTCGCTCGAGCAATACTTCCTTCGCTCGAGCGAGGCGACCTTTTTGTGTCCGGTCGCTCGAGCGAGAACTCCTTCGCTCGAGCGAGCCTGCGTATATCAGATTGCAGCAGTGATGTTTTACATCACTTTTGATTCACTTTCTTCCCCAAAACGCTAATCCGGCTGCCTCTCTCTCTAAAACTCACATTCTCTCTAAGATTTCATCTAAATCCGTTGTGTTTTTGACCCTAGTGTCTTTGAGAATAAGGTAGAGGGCTTCAAGAGCTTCGTTTTGATCCAAAAAGAAATTGGTTTCGTCATCTTTGGAGTTCTACCTTGTTGCTTGGGTTTTCTACACTTGATGTAGGGATTTTCTACACTCTAATATGACTTTTAGCTTAGTTATTTGTTATTGTGTATAGATAATGAGATTTGATTGTGGTTTGGACAAATCTAAGTTTTGGGTGTCTTTTGTAAAGAGGGATTTTTGATGAAATTGGTATACATGGGTTTGAGGTTTGAATACAAGGTTATATTGCACCAAAATAGTTATTTTTGGGGTTTGGGTTGGCATTTGGTAAAAAGGGGAAATTTGCCCTAATTTGATTAAATTATTATTTTGTATAAATAATGGGGATTAACATTTAAAATGTGAACTTGGAAGGTTGTGGTTATAAAATGGTAATATTGGATATGTATTATCTCACCTATGGAAGTTTTGAATAAACTATTTATCCCAATATTGAACATCTTTTTGAAAATAATTGTATTGGGCTATCGATGGAGGATAGTTATGATTGTTATAGAAATTACATGAGGATTAGGCAATTTAATGCTAACTCATTATTGATGTCATTGAATATGACTATGCATATAACTACAATGTATATGTATGATTATTGGGAGGAGAAAGGGGATGTACTCCAAATGTGAATATGTTTATAAAATACATTGCATATATATGTATTTGTTTGGGAGGAGAAAGGGGATGCACTCCAGGTGTACTTATGCTTATAAATATATAGCATATGTACATTTGTTTGGGAGAAGAAAGGGGATTGACTCCATTTAAAGCAAGTTGGCCAGAGTGTCCAGGGTGAAAGACCTGAAATCATATATATACATGGGTGCCGATTCCCGCGGACGAAATATCCGTAAAATGGCAAAGTTTGAAGTGTTTATATGTATTTTGCCAAATTGGAAAACTATTGAATTGTAGTCTCATGTTAGTTGTTGAAAGATAATGAATTTAACTCATGAATTGAGTAGCATATATGAATTGGAAATGAATTGATGGAAAATAGAATAAGATTGGCCTTAGTGGCATATGGATATGCAGATCTTGTGGTTGCTTCCATAATCGGTATTGTTTATGTATGTGGTATTTATACCTTTGCTAAACCTCATAAATTGTGTTAGATTATCTCTACTGGGCTGTTAGCTCACCCAATACGGGAATATCATTTTCAGGTGCAGGCGAGATGTTTCCTCCAAGACATTAGCATTG